TACAGGGGAAACAGCAAGTAAGAGTTGCAGCCATCGCAGAGCAACGAGTGAGCTCCGCACCCTCCCCGCTGCTGCTAGTTACTTGCTTCCAGAAGGAAAGATCTTCGGGCTGCCTTTCCAACCAAGTGGGAGCGTGTTGTATGTGGGAAATACGGTGGCACCATTCGCCCCTCCCGTGAAGCACCACGTGAACACGGCTGCTGCTTTAGGAGGCAGCTCAAGCAGAAGAGTGCCGCGTGTGGGGGCGTGGTTGCTTCCAGATACCTTTTTCCTAACTGACCTCCTGTCTAGTCCACAATGAGTTTTGCTGCAGCTCATCTGAGGCAAGGTTGTTTTAAACCACATTATAAATTAGGGGCCAAGTGATGTCCTTACTCATGCTGAATGTTGCCTCGCGCCCTGGCTAGTCCCACGGCTGTCAATGGCTATGGAGTTACTTGCCCAACCTGAGTAAAGCCATGCACTCTGGATGTTTCAACGCAGGGATACAACGCTCAAGCTTTGATGCCTGAAGCTTGGCACTGGAGTCCATCTTCAGGCATCCCTTACATGTCCCAGTGGAAGTGCAGTGGTGCTTAGGTGGCCATGGCCGGGCCGTGCTAGGCCCTGTACACTCCTAGAGGGGCTAAGCTGGAGCTGTGGGTGGTCAGGTGAGCACCTCCAAGAGTCAGGCCACGGGACGTGGCTTGGCCTGTCACTGCAGTGGATGATGGGCCCTGTGGATGTTAGCCCTTTTTTCCACTTTTAAGAGATTCCAGGTCACTTTCCTATTTGAACATCTTTTAAAAGAAAAACAATTGCTGGGAATGAAGTTATCAGGCTGTAAAGCCAAAGGCCACGCTCCAAGCATATAAGCTTTTGATATATTACTCAAGTTAGATTAAAGATTCTGTAACTCATTTCACTTCATTAAAGCTAGTAAAATAACAGAGTAACTTTTCAACGGCAGGGATTAATTTTTGAAGCTGCATGAGGGCATTTAGTCACAGTGCCTGCTGAAACCTGATTGAATCAGATAAATGAAATAAGTGACCTTTATCTAGCGAGGTTATGGTTCTAGCTGGACTTGTGTCGGAGGAGATTTGTGCTGAAGTACACAAGAATGGAAAGTACAATGTAAGATGCATACCGACATATCAAAAAGGCAGTGACACAGCTCCACGGTGCAGTGATGGAAGGGGCAAAGCACTGATGTAGGAGGGTTTGAAATGTGCTCCCGGGTCTCAGGCTGTCAGCTCAGGTTCCTCAGTAGCTAATCGTCCTTTTCTGTTTTTATTAGAATTATTGAACGTTAAGCAGTTGGTTTTAATTAGCTCAATGAGGGGACCCTTGGGGAAATGGGGATCTGGAACCACACTGGGCGCAGGAACAGGCAAAATGCTGAGAAATGCTGGCCATGGTTTTCATAAATAGCTAGAGATTTGGGGCGCCAAAGCTTAGATGCATTGAAGGGTCTGACTTTTTTTTTGGAGAAAAGGTGAGCCTCCACCCACTGCCAATCAGTACCCTTTAAAAAATGTTGAGTTGCATGTAGAAATATCTGGCACTTTCCAAACTTGGGGTATTGAACGGCAAGCAGAAATGATCTTGGAACACGTTATTATCTCGTTCATCAGCATTCCCGTCCTTCCTTTTGGTTTAAATCCAAACCCTTTTAAGCACCTAAGTAACTTAAATGCCAACACGCGCTGTTCCACAAACGCATAAGAGTTTGCAGGGTTATGATCTTTCTTTTGGATGAAGCCACGAAGAATCGAGCCTGTCTATGGCAACTGTCAATGCTTGGGCTACCTTCTCCGAACGCTAGGCGAGGCAGGTCTCCCAAATCCCAATGCAGGGATTTCCTCGTGTTCAGGGTGTAAGCTTTCTGCATTAAAGCCACTGGCCTTGGACCAGCCAGATGGAGAGGAAGACAATAATGGGATAAATTCTGGGGTGATGAAATGACTCTGGACAATTTCCTGGGAGAAAAAAATGCTCCGATCCCACTGAGCCATTAAATAACTGGTTTCCACCTGGTAGCATCCATATCTTTTGAGAAGGCTTTTGGCAAAACAGTTTCTTTATATTCATGTAGAGCAAGATTTTCAAAAGCATGAGAAAGGGACAAAATAGGTTTGAAGTCCCACTATGCAACTGAAAAGATGCAGAGAGAAATTAGGACATGGTAAAGGGGGCCAAGATTGATAGACTTTTGCAGAAGGGCTCTAATGGCACACCCTGACATTTGCTTGATGTTCAGGTTAAGCGTGGTGGTAAATTATACTTAAAAAAAAGAACACCTGCCCCTTTCTAGTGTTCCAGCAATGTTTCCCTACGGCTTTCTTAGGTCCTCATGTTCAAAGTAGCTTAATGGCAAGAGAGAAAAAGCTAGTCTCCTTGAGATCAGTACATAACTACCTTTGACTAATTTGGAGCCCTGAGCAATCCATTAAGACTTGATCTCATTCTGGCCAATTTTGGATTGAAAGTGGCATCGCAAAGGGCTCCAATTAATCTAGCGAGCCATCCAACTTACTGCAAAATGTCAGGATTTAGTATGTCTTGCCTGCTTTTGCCATCCCTGATAGCCTGACAGCCACTCCGTAGGACCTTAACTTTTGCTGTGTTTGAAAGCAGAATTTAAAACATTAACTCTCCAAGTACCAGGTGACATAAATGATAGTTGAAGCCTGTCTGCCCAAAGAGCTCCCCAGGGTGCTTAGAAAGTGGGGAAGGCCTTACAGCTCTCTTTAATAGTTGTTCTCCCTGGGACGCCCTCTTTATTTTGCGTGCATCTTCCAAATCCTGGAGCATTATGGTAATGAGCCATAACAAGTGTGACAAGGAAAAGCTCATGGTTTGCTCTCTGTAAACCTTAAAGGAGCTGTAGCCAAAGCATCTCCCTAATGCTGTTGGTGGCCACATTGCTATTTTAGGGAGCGTTGTGTATCCTGGGTTTGAGAACGATAGATGTGTGCACAGCTCAAACGAGGTGTCAAGATCCAGTACTTGAATAATAAAATTGTGGGCTACTGCAAAGATCTTTTATGACAAACTGTGTGCCTTTGTTAGGAGCCACTAGCTGCCTATGCAGGCCACTGGGACCTGTGCACGAGAATAAATGGGGCTATATTTGCACGCTGGCACTTTCCTCAGGGTGGGAGTGGAGAAAGTAGGGTGTGGCCAGAGCCTTGGTTCCCATCTGTCTACATGCTGCTCAGTGCTGGGGGTGAAGGAGGGAGCAATTCACTACCGGTGTGCACCAAGCTTAAGTTACTAACTTGGGGAACAAGGGGCACATCTGCATGAGATGTTTACTGCGCAGTAAACATCACACATCTACATGGGCCCCAATTAGGCTGGAGTAAATTAATTAACTCCGCAGCAGGATACTACTTGTACATACAAGTACTACCCTGCTGCATAGTTTTTACTCTGCAACAGCACATGTGTAGACACTGCCCTGGCTGGCTGGGGCACGAGAGTGCTTCAGTGCAGGGGCTGCTTGCCGGCTAACTCCGCACTGAAGCTGCTTTGTGCCCCAGCCAGCCCCACGGCAGCATTTTGAGCTGGGGGAACAGCCCGCTGACCACCCATGCCTGGCTGGCAAGCTGACCCCAGCCCTCCCTCCAGCCCTCTGCCAGCTGGGGTGCTCTGACTTGCTTCAACATGCTGTAGTCCTAGGCACACGTTCAAACGGTCACCCAGGAGCAAAACTCCGGCACAATAAGCTCCAGAGTTTATTCATACACAATTGCACGTGTAGACATACACAAGGAAGCTTTGAAAGAACTGTTTTGGAACTACAGTGCCTCTTGTGCTTCTGGGGTACTGTGGCTTATGTACCACCCCTTAACTAGAGGCACAAACAGCCCCAAAATTTAGCCTTGCTGTCTGATTGCCAGATGTCAGAGGTGTCCAGGGCTCAGGCGTTAGGTCTAACCCAACCCCTAAGAAGAAATAAATCCTGATCCAAGGAGTTGCCTTTGTAAGAACAGAAACAAAACGAGCCTGGTCACGTGCACCCAAGTTGTGCCTTCTTTTGAATTAATCTGGCCAACAAAAGAGCTGACGTAGCCGGAATCCATTGTGAAGTTCCCTCGCATCTATTCGGTTCTGCAGATTCACTGGTCCACTGGATGCACATTTTGTTTTGCAAGTATTAAAACATTTCAGTAGAACGTTTCAATGGCCTGAAATGCAGCACAAGCCACAGCAAAGTTCAATGTGAACTTTTTTTTTGCAAGGGGAAATGATGCAAACCCTTTTAGAGTGTTACCTGTGACTCATTTGATCTGCTTTTCCTACAAGACCCTCGGGTAGGGAATGGAGGTCTGGACGAGGAAGTTTAGACTGTATTTGGAAGGAAGTAGGAGAACCCTGAATTGTCTCATGTCACTGATGAGTTAATGTTAAATCAATATAAAATGACCTTGGTGGTTTTAAAACTAAATTGGGGTCATATGAAAAAGGCTGTGTGTGTATGAGAGAGAGAGATCCTTGGGTGAAAGGCTGGAAGCAGTGAAAAACATACATATGTAACAGGTGTATGGTAATGAAATTTGTTCCCCATGAGCTGTGCCCTCTGCTCCCTGTATCTTGAATGACAACGTCTTAACGTTCAAGCATTCGAGACAGATTGGTGGCGAATGACTTCAGACTCGTGTGCTGGTAGTTACTGACGTGTCTCACTGGGTGGCTACGTGACATATCCCAAGGTGCTGATCTCAGTATTACTTGGTATTGCCGGAGAGATTTTGTTCTGCAGTTACTGCGTGCAAATGCAAGCATAGCTCTACTGTAAAGATGAAGTATTGCGTGGAAAACTGCATGCCAACAGTATTTTGTGGGTATGACATTTCTCACTTGCACCCGTTTTTCTGGAATGGTGCAAATTGCTTACACAGGTGCAAGTTGTGTAGAGGGAAAGTTGCTTGATGCTCTAATTGCCACTTGCCACATTTAAAACAAGCTTCTAATCATCGCCCTGTTAAGTCCATGCTTGGCAGGGGAGCCACGCTCCATCCCACATAGGATCCATTTATTTGTTTGTAATGACTATGCTTCTGAATATTTATCAGAAGACAATTTCTGTTTTGGGGTGGGGGAAAGGACATAAAATAAGTCAAAATAATCCCGGTGGCAGATCAAAGAAATACAGGTAGAAAAATCCTTTAACAAGTGGTTCTCAGTAAAGCAAAAGTCCCTGGCAGAGTCTCAGCGGGCGTGAAGAGTAATACCTCCTTGCACTTCAGTGGGCTCATAACCATGTACGTTAGGTACAAATCTGCCTTGTGCCTTGAATCCCAAGAGCAGTGGTTTTCAACCTGTGGTCTGTGGACCCCTGGGGGGTCCACAAAAGATGACTATGATCAATCAAAAATATGTGAATACCCACACTTACAATTCAAAGGGGTCTGCACCTCTATTTGATATTTTTGGGGGTCCACAAATAAATAAAAAAAGCTGGAAAACCACTGCCCTAGAAGTTTCTTCCTAAATTTCTCCTTTAAAAGGTCACTTCCTGTGGTTGCAACAGGAGAGGGCCTACAAAGGAGACTGTGGCCTGATGAGCTGTCATCTGACCAGCAGTAGATAGTGGTACCCAAAGGATATTTGGGCTCACATCTAGTCTAACCATGGTTTCACTGATAGATTAAAGAGCTATTAAATGACCGCTGCTGATTGCTCATGGTTGTAGCTGTGCTGGTCTAAGGACATGGGCAGACAAGCTTCCTTGGGTAAATCTGATGCCGAGAACACAAATGTAATCTTGTCTCAACAGCTGGCTCAGGGAAAACTGCTTAATGCATGTTTTTATACCCAAACTCTCCAAGAGAGCAAGTGTGGTAGCTCTGATTTAAAATCACTCCAATACTGGAGAGCAATTTTTGGTCTATAATACATCACATGGTTTTAGGACAGTACCAAATGAATCAAATCACCCAGAATATTTTACAATAGGAAATTACAAAAGATTTCGGAGAGAGGGATGGAGGCTATCAAAAAGACTTTCTTCTTCAGAATCGCCAACAAAACATTTATGACATATCCAAGAGGTAAAAAGGCAAGCCGATATTCATAGTAAGAGTCGCTGATAAAAGTCAGACCTGATCTGGAGCCCCTTGAAGTCAATTAAAAAACTCCCTCTGCCTTTGACAGAGGCTGGAGTAGGCCTGTTGTGGAAAACAAGGATATTTCTTAGCCGTTAAGCAATCAATAGCGATCAGTGGGAGTTTCATGTGAGCATAAATAGCCCTTCATAAAATACAATCTGTTGTTACATTATGTTTACAGTCATGTCTGAGATTCACAGATGACAAAATTGCACCAAATTACGTACCAAATATAAATTACCTTTTTTTGTCCTGTTTACAGCCTACGCACATCTTTAAGTAAGTATATGAGCTATTGAGGTACTCTTATTCAGTATCTTGGAGGTAGCTTTTATGAACAGAATATACGAACACCAAAGAGTCATTCCATCGCATCAACATCTGGTGTCTTCATCAGCCCACGGACAGGCATGTCTATGAAATACTAATGTGGCAGTAATATGATTAACTCTTCCTGAAAAGATCTCCATTTATGATCTTATACCAGGTCAGCCTGGTTAACGTATGCTTAGTGGATCTATATGTTTGGCCAGTCGAAAGACGACAGCAACAATTCTTCCAACATTTGTACATACATCATTGACATGCATTTGAATGCATTTGGATTAGTATGTACTCTCCAACTGAATTAATCTACCTTTGCTTTGTTAGGCTATAGCAGTAACTGAGTTTGCATGAGTCCAATATGGGTGAAACTCTCCCCTGTGAAAAGGGAATTATTTTTCCCTTTATGATCTGACAAAATTAAATCTTTCCCTTATTTACTACTGCCACCTAGAAGTAGGATGGCAAATTGTCGGGACTGTTGGTGTGATGCAACCTGGCAATTCCCATGTTGTGACGTGGGTGTGTTTGAGTGGCAAACTCTGTCCACAAAGGGTTTTGTTTTTTTCTTTTAAAAAAATGTGACTCTACTTTCATCCATTGAAGTATTTGACACAGAACAAATGTCTACATTTGATATCTGATGATTCACTGGAGTCTCAGGATGAGGCTTTGATAGGTCTTTCTTTCACATTCCCATGAATGATGTTTCTTCACATAGTCTTTTGCCCTGGTTACAATCTTTTTTTCCAAAGTGGGGTTGTTCATCAGACTTTTTGACAGGAGGACAAACTCCTAAAAAGGTGAATAAAACAACAATGAAGTCCAAGTTCCTTGAGACTGTAATAATTCTGAAATGGCTTGAATCACGTACGATACAGTAAGGCAGTTCAACTTTATTAGTGACTATGCAGACCAAGCTGTTGAAGAGCTGCTCTTTAAAGTCAAGCAATGTATTTTGTGCACAAACTGTGATCTGTAAACAGCAAATAAACCTTTTAATCTTACATACAGAGTCCACCAACTAAGACACTTCAGACCAAGGACAGATCTTTAGACCACAGCACTAAAACTACAGGCAAACAATGTAATGAGTGTTTGAGCACTACAATTTTACAGCAATGATGAGTGTCATTGCTGAGTATGAAGTTAAAAATTCAATTGGTTTCCAGGATGAAGGACAGCTGGGATCAGACAGTTTGATCTAGCTTCAATGAGGTGTCTGTCTAATTACCAAAATGGAACTGGCTAAATCTGTCTTGTTCACAATGAGATGAAAAAACACATCCTAAAGACAGCTATAGTTTAAAGCAAGGCCTATGCAGTTAGTAGTAAATCTTGTACATTATTCCAGGGACTAGAAATAAATTCAACCAGGCTATTAAATAGCTGTTAATACCATGCAGTGCTGGAGCCTCATAACCTAGAGGTACGCAGCAGCTTGAACACTATATCAAAAGGCCACAAAACGACCTATGAAATTCCTTTAATTCTATTGGGCAAGTTACTGGACCTGATGGGCTGATGATTTCTTGGTCACTTCCTCTGCTGGTCTGATTTTCTTTTTAGGAAGTTAAAACGTGAAAAGGACTCAAACGTGAAAAGGACACGTCGTCAAACGTGAAAAGGACTGCTGACAGGGCTGTGCAAAATGGCACCGTTCCATTTCGACTTGAGTGTTGAGGATTCGATGGAACAGCGTGTCATATCGAATTTCATTTCAGTTCGAAATTGCTGTTTCGTTTCGTCAAAACAGTGACACTGTTCCGACGCTGTTTCAAGGTTTTGCCCAGGCGCTATAATGGGGAAGCTCGAAACAGCCTCTCATCCGGCAGGCAGATGGGGGCCCACAACTCTGGGAGGGCTGTGGGGGCTGTGCCCATCCTCCTGGGGCTGCAGGCCCCCGATCTGCCTGCTGGATGAGGAAGGGAAGCCGGGTGCTGCCACCTGGGACTGGGGAGCTGGGGAAGAAACCTGAGCCCAATCGCTCAGTTCCCCTCCCCAGTGCTGCAATCAGGCTGGGGAAGGGAACTGAGACCAGCTGAGCTGGGAACTTTCCCCAACTGGATCTGGCCCTGGGGAGGGGAACTCAGCTCAGCTGGGCTCAGTTCCCTTCCCCAGCCCCATCGTATTGCTGGGGAAAGGAACTGAGCCTGCACTGCGATCGGCTTCTCGCAGCCCGGCCACAGGAGGTGGGGAGAGCCAGGGCTGCGCTTCCCGCCTGGCTGAGCCACATGGGGCTGCAGAGCCGGTGGGAGTGCAGCCCTGGTTCTCCGCTGTCTTCCACCGCCTGGCTGCTGACTGCTTCGAAACTCGAAACGTTTCAACTAGCCTTGTTTTGTTTCGAAGCTTTCTCGTTTCAATTCGATTTCACTGTTTCGAGCTCAAAATGAGTCGAAACAGTGTGGAATCAAAACAGCTGGCAAAATTTGGACAGCCCTAGCTGACATCACTTAAAGTAAAGCCATCTGTTTTTGTAGAGCCAGTCTCGTTTTCTACCAACTTTCAACACGGGATTATAAGGGTAGCTAAAACCTTTTCAAACCCTCAATGCATCTATGTGGTCATTCCTAGAAATACCAAAAGAGGTATTAGATCAATGAAAAATTAAAACCAGTAGTTGCTATAGACATGATAACGAAGGAGAATATAATGCAGGCATTCTCCATTAAGGAGAATATCACTGATGCCCTCTAATTGAGGGCTGGAAAGAGAACGTTAGAATTGGGTCAACACACCGTTTGTTAACAAATTGCACTTGAATTTAATTCAGAGCCTTACAATCTGGGTTACCACGGAGTTAAGGTTTGTGATGTAATTCACATTTCTTATACAAAATATGTAACTGCTGTATGATCACTGGGGAAACACTGATATTTGTACACTGTACATAATCCGGGCACCGCCTTGATGCTCAGACAAGACAAGCAAACCTTGAAGTTATGAAACACTTCTGCCCATCTAACATTAGGATATCTGACTGATGCACGCAATGGAAATGTTTTCGTAGTAAATTGTGTAGTCAGAGTTATGGTGGACACTAGAAGAAGGTAAATTTTCATATTTCCATATTGACTGTACTCCAACTATTAAACCAGGGCTGTCCAACTGACAAGCAGCCCAAGGTGTTAAATTGCAGCCCTTTGGGCTCCTGGCAGACATTACACGGAAGGTGAGAGTAACCAGTTAATTGTGTCTTTAGTAGTAACTTGGTCACGCGTTCATGCAGTCAGTTAGAATGGGGAATAAGCCACGCAGTTAATACACAAAATAGATGTGATAACTTTCCAGCTGGTTCTCATTGTGTCTTAAATTGAATGTCTGTCCACAGCCAATCAGTATTCCCAGTCTCAGGAGCCCACCGGAGCTTTGAAGGGCTCTATTTCGCTTCTGTGGCTAGAAGTGCCAGTCTGGGAGCACTGGGCACCCAGCTTGCTCCCCCTGCATCAGCAATAAAGCATGATTTGGATCCTATCCCCATTCCTACAATCATGCCTCCTGCCATGCTATTGTTGGGCCAGCAGATCAGATATCATCATACCTTTAACTGAACATCAGGCAGTGGCCCTGTGCTCCCACCTGGTTGATACCTCCGCATTGCGGTGCAGCAGGCAGCAGCATAAGGCCCATGCTCTTTTTAGCACCAGGCGCTCTTCTTGTATATCACCCTCATGTTCTCAAGAGACAGCAAAAGGATATTTTCCTTCCTACACATCCTTTAGGTCAGCAGAGGTCTTTTTTTTCATCAGGAGGACTATGGTGTAGGGCAGAAGCTCTGCTATGGTTACTGATACACACTATGTCTTGAGGTGCAGCGGGGATGAAATCTCCTTCTACATAACTGCCAGAGACTGAATTATCTGTGCGTATTTCTCCTGCTTCATTTTTCTTCCAGTCAACATTATAAAATCAGGATAATTATTCATAAATGTATCTTATTCAGTCACACTTGGGTCTTTCACATTCACAAGCTGCAAAGTTATCTCTACTAATATATGCAGGTATGATGTCTTTTGAAGAGCATGAAAGCTTCCCTGCAAAATTCAGAGCAGGGTTTCACAAGGGATCTCCCAGCCAGCTCTGCAAATGAACAGGTTTAGTACTATAAGGATAATGTTTTCTTTTAAACCCTTTCCACATTTCCCGCTCTCTGCTGCTGGGATGCCATTGTCACCCACAGCTGTAATCTCTCTCTTTCTGTTATGCCTAAACCGTATCCAAATATTGTTGTGTTTTTTCCCCACAATGTGGCATCTACTTCTTTGACCTCCTGAATATCACAGAGCATTAAATTCACTCACTTTCCTCTATTTTAAGCCCAATAATGTAGGTCAGACTAAGGCAATTCTGCTCAAGAAACAAAACCACCATGGGCCCCAATCTTAGAACCACAGAGAACAAGACTCCACCAATTTATAGAGGTGTAAATTGTAGTTGTGTTGGTCTAAGGACATAGGCAGACAAGGTTCTTTGGGTGAATCTGATATCTTTTATTAGACCAACTTAAATAGTTGGGGGGAAAAAAATTTAGCAAGCTTTCAGGTTTTAAAACCCTTCATCAGGTTTCCTCAGCCAGGTTTTTAAACCTGGAAGCTTGCTAAAAATAATTTTTTCCCCCCAACTATTTAAGTTGGTCTAATAAAAGATATCAGATTCACCCAAAGAACCTTGTCCACCAACTTATGACACTCATGCTTCAGAACGGTTAGATGTACCCAAATCATCCCACGGGTGATCCATGGGAAGGTAAAAAAACAAAAACAAAACCCAACCCCCATGCCCCCCCCAAATAAACCAACTCGATGTCCTTGGTAATTTGATTTGGGTAAAAAATTCCTTCCCAGTTCCATATCTGGTACTTGGTTTGATCCCTGACCATGCAAGCAAGATATGTCCACCCGACATTCAGATAATTACCCTAGAGCACTGGTTCACTCTGATGTCCTGTCTTTAGCTCTGGACAATTGCTGTTGCTTCAGAGCAAGGAGGAAAAGGAAAGTAATTGGGAACATTGATTCTCCACTGATAACTGCAGAGCTGAAGCTCTGATCACGAAGCATGATGTCTGATCTTCCCTCTTACTGAGGTAGCCAAAATGCTTTTCCATATCTTAGGCCTTTGCCATCTTGACTATTGCAACGCCCTCCATTTCTAGTCATTTTGCTATGTGTACTGCCCGTACTAGATCATCCAAGGTTCAGCTTCCAATCTTCTCTACCTTGCCCAGTCATCTGATTGTCCTCCATCATCACCCCTAATGCTTTTTGTATCTACCGGCAACCCTTAATATTCAGTCTGTACAACCTCAGGCAAACTCTCACGCTTCATCTCCCACTACATTCCCATATCCTTCTGTTCTCTCGATATTTGCCCCTGCAAATGTCCTCCTTTTATATCTCATAGTTCATAGTTTCATAGTAGTTTGGGGTCAGAAGGGACCTGAACAGATCATCTAGTCTGACCCCCTCGCCACTGGCAGGAGCACATGCTGGGATCACACGACCCCAGACAGGTGTTCGTTCAACTTCTCCAAGAACATGTGAGTAAGAGAAATGAAGAATGGCTTATGCTGGTGCACACCAGTCTCCTATATAATAACATCAATAAAAACTAATGTTTAAAAATAATGTATGCAACTTATCTCAGAATAGAAGCAGCAATGTAACATTTCTTGACAAGGAGCTCTATTAGTGAGCTTGAAAAATGTGGCTATAGAGGACAAAATCTTGGAAATACCTAAATGTTAGAAGCAATGAGATGCTTCTTCATAGCTAAGATACCTTGTGCTAGGGATA